CCTGCAGGGCATGGCGACTGGGGATTAGCTGAGGGAGAGCTGTAGAGCCTGCAGTCCAGGGCTGACCGCAGACCAGGCACTGGGAACTCAGCAGGCGCTAAGACAGATGCCCCCTGTTAATTCAGCTAAGGCCAATTACAGACTCCTGGGAGAAAGGCATGCTGATTACCAAAGCAGGCAGCAATCACTTACAAACAAACCTAACCCACTTCTTCCCCTGGGTAGTACAGGTGGAGGCTACATATTTAGTTTACACGGCACTCCAGAAATACACCAAGCCCTTCTCAGAAAAGCTCAGAGGAATAACTTTTTAGAATTCATTTACAAGTGAGTAAATTCACACCAACCAAAAAAGGAATGTTCATTTGAGCTAAAGTTATTTTATAAATAAAGAGTTGGTTCATTTTCCAGATTGGAAAGTCATTCAGGAAGAACTGCAGGTGAACGGAATGGAATGAAGTGAAGATCTCAAATTCTGCTTATGGATCCAAAGGTGGAAATTTTAGGCAGATTACTGAAGAAATGATTCCTAAAACCCACAAATTTTTCTCTAAACGAAACTTACCCTTTTTGACAGATTTAGTCAGATAAGGTTAAAAAGAGTGTGTACTCTGTACAGAATGGCCTTATGAAAAATACCAATCCACATGTAAGTGTATGATTTCATGGGGTCTCTGATAGCCACATCCCACGAATACTCCAAAATTGATCCCTTTTAAAACAAGGGTTTTTTGTTTGTTTTAAATAATCAAGCTCACACATGGCTATAAAATGTTAAACACATATGGGTCATTTGGCCAGGCACAGCAGGTAATAAATGCATATAACAAAAGGTTCAGTTAGAAAGTTAGGGTCATTCATTTAAGCATGCCCTCAACAGAATTTATTAAATTATGTATTTTGACATCCAGATTGAAAAATAACTATAATGTGCTATTATCCAGCTCCCAATGAACCCAAACTGTCATACTTCACTTTCGGGCTGCCAAACACTGCTCTCCAAGGGTCAGCTGGCATCAGCTGTCTTTCTTAAAGATGACCCCTAAGAAAACATCCAAGCTCAGGAAACTTTAAGACCACATACATATTTTCCAACTCTCGAGCGTCCTCCTTACACATCTACTTCGCATATCAGTGTTTCCCCTGAGACTTGACATTCAAAGCTGAATCCCATTCCAGATCATTCGTCATTTCTGCACATTATCTAGACTATTTACTTAATATATTTTTCAAAATTCAGTGACTGACTAGGCATATCTAATTTAGCATTACCCTAAGCAATTTCTGTGGAACCATGACTTTGGTTTGACAAAGTACTTATCTGTTTTTTCCCTAATAATAATTTTTTAAAAATACTATCTAAATTCACACCATGGACATGAAATCACTGCCCATGGACATGAAGCATTTAATGATGCATTCTCACTACTTCCATTGTCAGCTTTTCCCTGTAAATGTTCTTCCCACGTAAAGACACTCTCGTGTTTCTGACCAGCAAATGCGTTCCTACCCCACTCCCTGTCCTCACAGATTCTCTTTAATCCAGAGTTGCTTTTTCTTTGATCCAACTTCTTTAGGGTCCTCGGACACTTGATTAGACTACTCCAGAGAGAGCTGCGTGTAGTCTCAGCCAACGGATGAGACTGTCTGTGGAACATTCAAATGTCAGGTTGGGGAATCCAAAACTGACCTCTGACAGGCAGTGCCTCAAAGGACAATAAGCCCCAAATGGAGCTGGGAGGCAGCCTCGGAAAAACATGCTTAGGTGGGTTACAAACGGCACTGAAAAACAGTGAGGAAGAAAAAGTCTTTACCACAAAGCACTCAGCATCATTTCCACTAGAGAGATTTAATTGAAAAGGATGATTTCAACACTGGCTGCCCTAACAAATTAGTCTCCAACTGCGACTTCTGCCAAATGCATTTCTCCTCCCCCTAATGCAGAGGTGCTTTTAAATTAAAACATAAGGGGAAAGCTCAGAAAAGAGAGTCATTTACAGCACTTGGGCTACTTGAAACAACTTTTCACCAAAGGTCTATAATCAAATTATCAAGCTCTTCAAGCCAGTGCTTTATGACGAAAATAAAAGCCCCGCCAGGTCTCCTGGCACTTCCGCGTCTCTGGGCAGGGTGCGCACTGCAGAGTCCCCATTCACGCCAGCGGCATGAAAGAGAACAGATCACAAAGGGCAGATTACAAGGGAGAACGACTCTGACTCCAGTGGGGGAAGGGACAGGCGTGAATGGATTGTAAATTATGTTGCTAAGAAGGGAGCAGAAATATGGCAACTTCAAATAATCCTCTTGCCAGGAATTCTTCCCATGGGGACTGTTCTTTCTGTACTTTGCTTTCAAGTATGTGAGAAATATGAAAAACTTACTGCATATCTGGGGGTCCTCCTCCCCTGCCATCTTAACTTGCAGCTCTTGGCAAACACTGCTAAAATGGCTTTCTAAAAATCGAAGTTTTTTCGTAAAGGAGATAAAACGATAGAGAAAAAAGGGAGGGTAGTGAATGGTAGGCACCCCAGGAGATCACCTTGGTTGTCAGTATGTAGCATCACTTCTTCGTAATCATGGTCCTAAGACAGCTTGTTTTGAGGAAGAGTGAATGGTCTGAATGATCTGTTCATTTCCTTAAGGGGGCCCTTCCTATGTTCTTGCAACCCTGTTCAAGGTGCAGGCTCTGAACTGAGGGCTATCGTCATGATCTCCAACAGGCACACAAAGATGTTTTCAGTGAAAGTACCTTTGGGGAAAAGGCAGCTGCTGCCTTGAGCACAACACGGCCACCAAACTCTAATTCTGCTGCCACCGTTTCTGACTACAGGCTATCATGCAATGAATGACATGCTGGCTGACACTTCTACTTTGCTAACAGCCCTAAGGACCTCTCTCCGCTGTGCTCAGGAAGCACAGTGTGACCCAAAGGATGCTGGCAGAGTACAGCAAGCAATCGCCTCACCTGAAACAAGCATGATCTCACTGAGTGATGTGCACGGCACTGCCCCCGAATTCGTTCCCCTGTCTCCCTCCCACTTGGAATGTTTGTACTCCTCTGGGATTAGCATGTGAGAAGAAAAAAAGAGCCAAACCCAAAAATCGACCAGTCTCTAGTTACTTCTGATTTAATCCTCCACTGGTTAGAATGAAGCATCCTACAGTTCAGTGATCTATAATTAGAAGTTTAGTCTTCCAATCTGTTATATACCACGTGCGGTTCAAGAATCAACATACTCAGTCCTTTCACAAACTTCTCTGTAGTCACATTTTGGGCCTCGGTCACAGTTTCACCCAAATGAAGGATACAAGGCTATCATCAAAATGCAAAAAGTGAAGTTAAAAAAAAGAAGTATGCCTTTACCACTGCAATCCAAATTTAAAATACACACACACACACACACACACGTAGGGAGAGACAGAATAAAAGAAAACCAGTAAAACTCAAACCTGAGTTCTCTTTTTCATTGTTTTTGTTTTGTGTGTTTTTTAAATGAAAACTGCTGTGTAGAAACCCCACAGGGAATACGGTCTTCCCAGGCCAAAGAGGAGTAGCAAGTCAAAGGTGCAATGAACGCCGGCACCATCTGCTGCAAAGTGCTGTGCTGAGTCTAAGTCACATCCTTACTATTGCCAGTCCCTGCTAATTTGGTATCCTCTTCATTTCACTTTATTCTGGACGGGGGAGTGAAGGAGACTGTGAACACGGGAATGCCAAAAACCTCAAACCCAGAAGGCAGCCCAAAAAGCCTTCTTCATTAAGCACTCCATTAATAAGGAACGGGTGATTCATCACCTAACAATGCCAATGCTTTCAATGAGTTTGTAGCATAGGTTTGTTCCCCTGCAACACGCCCCAAAAAGAGAAACAGTATCTAACCCCCCTCCACAGGCTGTGGCTGTCAACTAATGAACCTCAAAAGCAATATTCAAAAACGAAACTACAAACAGCAAAACTCAAACTGCCTGACAAGAGATTGTTTTTTTTTTTAAATTAATTTTAGGGAGTTAATAGGAAATTAACTGGATTCAAAGTTTAAGATCTGTTTATGTTTACAGTCCTTCAAATGGGTAGCTAAATTTTAACCTCAATTAAAACTATTCAGTCAAGCTCATTACTGTAGAAGCCATGAAATGGGGGTCCAGGGAAAAGTAAAGAAGAACTCAACTGTCACCTCACTCCCTGCTTACCGACAGAAGCGTGCGACAGGGTGACTTGGACAAGAGCCTCCCAACACAGCCCCCAGCAGTCAGCCTAGCTGCACTGGCTACCTTGATAACACAACTGAAAAAAATCGTTCTTGCTGGCAGTCAGTCTGTAATTAAATTTTTATACACTCCATTTAAGTTACTGAATGACTTTCCGGGGCTACTGTTTGTATTTTGAAGTTGTTCCTCCTCCTGACATGGTGATCTGCTGGAAACTCTGCCATGGATTCTGAAGTATCTGACCAAACAGCTTTCAAACACATTCGACAGGAAACACTATGAACTGCTTGTCATAAAACCTCACTTACCACAAGTGAGATAAAAAACAAACAGTTAAAGCGTGTTACAACGTTCCTCCATTTTTAGAGAGCGGCGTAACTAATGCTTTCCCTGTTTTGAGATACGGGAACTGTTTGGTGCAAACCTCAGCATTTTGTTGGAGTTAATAACAAACTGGACGCCCGTCTGCGTTTGAACTTTGTCCAGATCCCTCAAATGACATTTCAGAGCGGCTCCCGGGGACGGCCTGCGGCAGCTAATCCCCCCCTTGCTGCGCCGGCCCCCTCGGATCCACGAGCTGTGCTGAGCTCCCTCCACCACTTCGGCCACAGAGCGCTCGGGGCCTGCTGGCAGGGGAGGCCGGACGCCAGGAGCCCAGAGGCCTGCGTCGACTCTTCCCGCTCTGCCCGCTTCTGTGTCATGTTAGCAGAAGCTCACCCACCTCCCACAGGCTCATCCACAACGGGCCCCGAGCCAAGGCCGGCCTCTGAACGCTGCCTCGGAAGACTTACCCCCTGGAGCTTTCAGCCCTCGTGCGGAGGAAGGGCTGCTCTGGAGAGGCTCCCGGTCACCTTCCATTCACATAATCTGGGTGTGCTTCATTGCACACTTGCTACTGCAAGCTTGCATCATGACTTGGGTCTGCCCACCAACTCCAAATATGCTCCATGTTTGGTCTTATGTAACATTTGCTACTACTGTAAAAAGCACTTGAATTACAAAGGTCCTGGCAGATCAACAGAAAACAAGGGGTGGAGTCTAATTTCAACTAATATGGTCATACAAGGCGTCCTGGCTGGTGTAAATGAATCCTTCTCTTTGAAAGGCAATTTGCCAAAACTGGGGGAGATGGGATTTATAATTATTTAACCTGCTAAAATGTGAATTTTTCTGAATACCTTTAAATGGACACTTGCTGCTACCAGGTATATTAGAAAATTTACATGGTTCATTATACAGCCTGCATTGTAAGCCTCGATAGATCAGGAAGTTTTAAAGTTAACGCATTCCTAGAAATAGCAGCAGCCTTTTTTGACATTTTATTTCCCCATGATCTATACTTAAAAATAATTAAAATTTGTCATACTGAAGCTTACTTTCCCTTCCTGAATCTAGTAACAAAAATCTTAACCAATTTTCTGTACATATTTGTAAAATACATCTAATTTCAGAATATACACCTGATTGTCTGGAGTCTGGTGTTCAATCATTAGATGACTGACTTTAAAGCTGGGACCTTTTATGCTTTTAATCCAAAAACTTCTCCCCCGAATGGCTCTTTATAAACAGTGTCTTCCTGGTCCTGGTTCTCCAGGTCAGCCCTATTATACTCCCCACAAGACTACTCTCCTAGTCTCAATCCCCAAATCTTACTGTCAAACAGACATGGGAAAAAATGGCCCAACTGACCTGAGTTTTATGATGATAAAGGCTGCACACATAAATAGACTCGGATGCCTGATAGTTCAGAATGAACACTTTTAAATGTCAAAAGGGGGGGGGGATTCCTCTACAGAATCCCGTCACCCCACAGAGAATATCTGGCAAGAAGTCACGAATTACATGTGTGGAAAAGATTTGGCCTGGAAGGGGTGGGAAAGAGTTGTGAGGCGTAGGACATGGTTTCTATTAGACCAGACACAAATTCTAAATGTACTCTAAAACAAAAGAGTAACAGCCACACTGCTTTATTTTCATGGCAAGCAATCAGATCCTGACCATGGGCAACAATCTTAAGATCCAGAGGGTTTTCTGAAACCTACTCCTGCCCCTCCCTCCCAAGGCTTCTTAGAGTCACATTCAAACAATGCAAAGCTACAGTGGTCCTTAAAAGACGCCAGGAGAACACCAGGTAAGGGGCATGAGCAGATCAAGCACAGGATGAAAACATCTTTCAAAAGATTAATTAGCAAAAAGAAGTTTAGGTTAGTTTACCGAAGGAATAAGCTAGAAGAAAAAACTGCATTGCTACCCTACCTGATTGCAACAGGTCTTAGCAATGTTCACTGCACCCACCCACCCTCCCCAGGGGGCAGCAAGGAGTCTCCTTGATGTCATAGGTCACAGGACAAAACTGAGATAAGAGGCCTTTTCTCAGACTAAGCCTGCGTTCCACATCACTGCACCTGTCAGGCCAGACCCCAGAGTCTTCGCTCTTCTCCCAGCACAAATACTTGCCTTTCCAACGTTCGCTTTTGTGGATGGTGATAAAATACCATTACAAAACCCAGTCAATCCTTAAGTTCTGAGAACCAAATCTTTGTGTAATCCTGATGAAAACTAGGATGAATTTGAGCAAACATTCTTTTTTTTTTTTTTTTTTATTTTATTTGTTTTGAGAGAGGGTGCATGTCCAGGAGGGGCAGAGAGAGGGGTGGGGAGAGAGAGAGAATCCCAAGCAGACTCTGCACTGTTAGTGTGGAGCCAGATATGGGGCTCGAACTCACAAACGGTGAGATCATGTCCTGCGCCACCCAGGTGCCCCTCAGCAAACATTCCTAATTGCTACAAATACACATCTATATTTTAACTTTACATATGGTTGACCCTTGAACAATGTCTGGGTTAGGGGCACTGATCGCCCCCACCCCCAGGTGAAAATCTGTAAAATTTTTGACTCTCTCAAAACTCAACTACTAAAATTCTATAGTTGATGAAAGAAGCCTTACCATTGACATAAAGCTACTTAATACATATTTTCAATGTTATATGTATTAAATACTGTATTCTTACAATAAAATGAGCTAGAACAAAGAAAACATTATTAAGATAGCCCTAAGGAAAAGAAAGACATTTATAGTACTGTACTTCATTTACTGACAAAAGTCTGCGGATAAATGGGTAAAATCTGCACAGCTCAAACCCATGTTGTTCAAGGGTCAATTGCATAAACAAAAGAGTAACAATTTAAACTTATATTTTTAAGACCTACATCCAAACATGGATGACTGATACTGTAAGCCAGGGAAATATAACTTTGTACAACAAGAATATACACAAATACACAAAAGCTTGTCATTTTAAAACACACACATTCTATGGGGCGCCTGGGTGGCTCCGTCAGTTAAGCATCTGACTTCGGCTCAGGTCATGATCTTGCGGTTCGTGGGTTCGAGCCCTGCGTCAGGCTCTATGGTGACAGCTAGCTCAGAGCCTGGAGCCTGTTTCGGATTCTGTGTCTCCCTTTCTCTCTGACCCTCCCCTGCTCACACTGTCTCTCTCTCTTCTCTCTCTCTCTGTCTCTCTCAGAAATAAAACATTAAAAACATAATAAAAAAAAAATAAACAGTTAAACATCCACATTGTTCTCTCTGAATGCCCTGAGTAAAATGTTTAAGCAAATAGTTAAATACCACTTTGTGCTGCTTGCACAGCATTATTACTACTTTCTTTTTTTCTTTTCAAAGTAGGCTTCACGCCCAGTGCAAAGCCCTAGGCGGGACTTGAACTCACAACCCTGAGATCAAGAGTTGGATGCTTAATCGACTGAGCTACTCAGGAGCTCTGCATGATTAGTATTTTCTACAAGCCATTTCCCAATATCCTATCCAAATAAAGCTTGATGGCTAATGTTTAAATGTCTAGGTCTGGGCCCATAACGAGTGAAGAAATTGAATCAGTGATCAAAAATCTCCCAACAAATAAGAGCCCTGGACCTGATGGTTTCCCTGGGGAATTCTACCAGACATTTAAAACAGAATTAATCCCAATTCTTCTCAAGCTATTCCAAAAAATAGAAGTCGAAGGAAAACTCCCGGACTCATTTTATGAAGCCAGCATCACTCTGATTCCCAAGCCAGACAGAGATCCAACAAAAAAAGAGAACTATAGGCCAATATCCTTGATGAATACGGATGCAAAAATTCTCAACAAGATCCTTGCAAATCGAATCCAGCAGCATATCAAAAGAATCATCCACCAAGATCAAGTGGGATTCATTCCTGGGTTACAGGGCTGGTTCAACATTCGCAAATCAATCAATGTGATCCATCATATCAATAAAAGAAAAGATAAAAACCATATGATCCTGTCAATAGATGCAGAAAAAGCATTTGACAAAATACAGCATCCCTTCTTAATAAAGACTCTCGAGAAAGTTGGGATAGAAGGAACCTACTTAAACATCATCAAAGCCATCTATGAGAAGCCTTCAGCTAACATCATCCTCAACGGGGAAAAACTGAGAGCTTTCCCCCTGAGATCAGGAACACGACAGGGATGTCCACTCTCACCACTGTTGTTTAACATAGTGCTGGAAGTCCTAGCATCAGCCATCAGACAACAAAAGGAAATCAAAGGCATCAGAATTGGCAAAGAGGAAGTCAAACTTTCACTCTTCGCAGATGACATGATACTCTACATAGAAAACCCGACAGACTCCACCAGAAGCCTACTAGAACTGATCCAAGAATTCAGCCAAGTTGCAGGGTACAAAATCAACGTACAGAAATCGGTTGCATTTTTATACACCAATAATGAAGCAACAGAAAGAGAAATCAAGAAACTGATCCCATTCACAATTGCACAAAAAACCATAAAATACCTCGGAATAAACCTAACCAAGGATACAAGAGATCTGTATGATGAAAACTATAGAAAACTTATGAAGGAAATTGAAGAAGACACAAAGAAATGGAAAAACATTCCATGCTCATGGATAGGAAGAATAAATATAGTTAAGATGTCATTACTACCTAAAGCACTCTACACATTCAATGCAATTCCAATCAAAATTGCACCAGCATACTTCTCAAAACTAGAACAAACTATCCAAAAATTTGTATGGAACCACAAAAGACCCCGAATAGCCAAAGTAATACTGAAAAATAAAACCAAAACGGGAGGTATCACCATCCCAGACTTCAGCCTCTACTACAAAGCTGTCATCCTCAAGACAGTATGGTATTGGCACAAAAACAGACACATAGACCAATGGAACAGAATTGAGAACTCAGAAGTGGACCCAAAAGTATACAGCCAACTGATCTTTGACAAAGCAGGAAAGAATATCCAATGGAAAAAAGACAGCCTTTTTAACAGATGGTGTTGGGAGAACTGGACAGCAACATGCAGAAGAATGAAACTAGATCATTTTCTCACACCATGCACAAAAATCAACTCAAAATGGATAAAGGACCTGAACGTGAGACAGGAAACTATCAACACCCTAGAGGAGAAAGCAGGAAACAACCTCCTTGACCTCCACCGCAGCAACTTCTTACTTGACACATCCCCAAAAGCAAGGGAATCAAGAGCAAAAATAAACTGTTGGGACCTCATCAAGATTAAAAGCTTCTGCACAGCCAAGGAAACAACCCAGAAAATTAATAGGCAACCAACGGAATGGGAAAAGATAGTTGCAAATGACATATCAGATAAAGGGTTAATATCCAGAATCTATAAGGAACTCACCAAACTACACGCCCGAAAAACAAACAACCCAGTGAAGAAATGGGCAGAAGACATGAACAGACACTTCTCCAAAGAGGACATCCAGATGGCCAACAGACACATGAAACGATGCTCAGCATCCCTCCTCATCAGGGAAATACAAATCAAAACCACACTGAGATACCACCTCACGCCAGTCAGAGTGGCTAAAATGAGCAAATCAGAGAACTCTAGATGCTGGCGAGGATGTGGAGAAACGGGCACCCTCCTACA